ATCAAAAATAAAGAAAAAACTATATATTGTGAAATATTATTGCAATTTAAAATAACTACTTTACATTTTAATATATACTTTAAAATATAATTTATTCCTGTGATACAAAGCTGAATTTTGATCAGCCATTACTCCAGTCTTCAGTGTCCCATGATCCTTCAGAAATCATTGTAATATTCTGTTTTATTATCAATGTTGGAAACAGTTGTGCTGAATAATATTTTTTTGGAACCTGTGGTACTTTTTTCAGTATCCTTTGATGAATAAAAATAAATAAAATAGAAATAGAAATATTTTGTAACAATGCACACTCCATGGCTGGATTGGTTTTGCTGTGTTTTTCCTCCCCATGTGTTCCGTGTCCCCGTTAATTAGTCATTCCATGCACCTGTGTTCCCCTGATTGCCCTGTGTTTATTAGCCCCAATCTGTGCTGTCTGTCTTTGTCGGAGATTGAAAGCTTGTACATCTATCCCTGAGTCTCCTTTGTTTATGTCTGCTCCATGTTACCCCTTGGATTAATGGATTAAAAGTACTGTTGTGAGTTTATGCCTTGTCTCCTCGTTCCTCGCCTTAGGGAAGTGTGACAGAATCTCAGACCGAAAACAGTTTATTGCATGTTTCCCATCCATTTTGTTTCCGTTTTTTCTCTCAGTGTTTTTGTTTCTGTAGTGTTCCCCTCCTTCACCCTGAATTCATCCTCCTCCTGCTGGAGCAGGGGGAAAAATGCATGCCACGAGGCTCCTAGCTCCCTCCTCTCCGCCGTGACCTGGCAGTCCACTAGCTCCATCGGGCTCCCTCGTCCCTCCGGCTCCGCCTTGGTCTGGCGTCGACCATCCTGCGCCTCGGGACTCCACTCCTCTGGCTTCGCCTCATCCCCTCGGATCCACCGCGGCTTCCCGGATCCACATCTTCGCGTCGGTTGCTGACGCCATTGGCTCCGCCTAGGACCTCCGGATCCTCCCCATCGCCCTGGCTCATCGGGTCTCCGTCTCCGCCTCGGGCTCCTCCACCACCTGCTCCGCCGCCGTTGGTCGGCCCCCTGGAGTCGACGGCCATTCCTCCATGGCTCCTCCCTCAGTCGGCTCCACCATGGTCCGTCATTATGGCTGTGGCCTGGGTCCAGCTGGACTCCTCCTGCTCCAAGCCCCTCCTGGGGGAGTAATGTCACGCCCCTGGATTGGTTTTGCTGTGTTTTTCCTACCCATGTCCCCGTTAATTAGTCATTATTCGGAGATTGTACATCTACCGCTGAGTCTCCTGTGTTCCTGTCTGCTCCATGTTACCCCTTGGATTAATGGATTAAAAGTACTGTTGTTAGTTTATGCCTCATCTCCTCGCCTTAGGGAAGTGTGACACACACTACCAGTACAATTTTTTTTTTTTATATATATAAATTAATACTTGTATTTAGCAAGGATGTTAAACTGATAAAAAGTGATAGTAAAGACTTGTATTGTATTTTGAATAAATGCTGTTCTTTTTAACTTTTTATTCATCAAAGAATCCTTAAAAAAGCAACACAACCGTTTTCAACACTGATAATAAACCAGCATATTAGATTGCTTTCTGAAGGATCATGTGACACTGAAGAATGGAGTAATGGCTAATGAAAATGTAGCTTTGCATCACATGAATGAATTATATTTTGAAGTGTATTAAATAAAAGCATTATTTTAAATTGAAATACTATTTTACAATATTATTTTTTTTTCCCTCTAATATATGCAGCCTTGAGACTTTAAAAAAACATAAAAAATCTTACTGATCCCACATTTTTATAGATATATGAAAGACATCAATATGGGCATCACATGCTCTTTCTGGTAAAGCTAATTTTGAACTAATTAGGTCACTGCTGCCAAATGCAAATGTAGAGCGTGTTAATATGGACATAATCACAACATCCAGATATTTAGGTGGTAGTGGCACTTGTACATTATGCCACAATCACTGTCCTGGTATGAGTTACACATTCTAGTGAAAAATTGCTGAACACAAGAGAAAGTGCACACCTTTATCATCATAGTGTTTAACCACAAACCAAACCAATAGAATTAACGGGAATTCCAAGATACTCAATACCATGACTATATGACAATGAAAATGCATAACGTGACAAAGCCACTATTCATAACGTGACAAAGCCACTATTAAACTAAAGCCACAAAGCCCATGTGTATTTTTATGACATGATTAAATAGGACAAACTAGATTTAAAATAGTTATATAGTGGAATAATCATGGTGGTAAATAAACATAAAGGATAAACTGCTTAATGTCAGCATGAAGATTACCACAAACTCTCAAATTTTGTAGAGTGGTCACAGTTACTCTAACAACTATCCATTCAGATCCTTCAAGTCAGTCACTGTGTTATATCGATAAATTACTGAAAATTAAGTGTCTTTCAGAACTCCAAATAAGCAAGCCAGAAGGCAACAGTAGCAAGGAACACAAACTCCATCAAGTGACAGAAATGGAGAAACTGCTCTAGTTTTCCTCCAGGACCAGTTCTCCTCTGGCCTAAGCAAACAAACGCAGTGAGATATTGATAAAAATGTGTTTCAGCATGACATGTAGATAGCTGGCCATAGGGATTTGGGCTGAGGGCTCGTCTAGACACTAAGGTCTTCGCTAAGGATCTGACCTGAGGTCTTGTGTAGTCGCCTAGGTCTTAGATTGCGCATCTGTCTTCACAGACTGTGAAGGGCTGTGTCGTGGTCATTTCTTAGGAGCAGGCCCACCATCTGGTCAGGATACAGACCGGATCTGGTAACCTCAGGATAAGGGTGAGACAGACAGACTAATATAAGCATAGATGCCATACTCTGTACGATGTAACAGTATTGGGTGTTGTGGGAAGTGTTTCCGGTTCCAATTGCCCTAATAATGCAGCCTCAACAATCTCTTAAGGGAATTATAGAAATGTGATAATGTGTTATGTGTATGCAAGGTTAAAATGATGAGTCTTTCATCTTGCTTTAAACTAAAAGAGTGTGTCTGCCTCCCAAATAACGTTAGGAAGACTGTTCCTACGTTAGTAAGTGCTCTACAGCCTGCAGTCGAATTTTGATATTCTAGGTATTATTAACTGGCCAGAATTTTGAGATGTGAAAACAATAATGCAATATGAACTTGCTCAAGTACTTAGGAGCTAAACCATTCAGGGCTTTATAAGTAATTAGCATAATTTTAAAATGTATACAATGTTTAATAGGGAGCCAGTGCAGTGTTGACAGAACTGGGCTAATATGCTCACATATTATATTATCATATAATAAGATTTTTGGTTCTAGTGAGAATTGTAGCTGCTGCATTTTGGACCAGCTGGAGTTTGTTTATTAAGCTTGCAGGGCAACCCCCCAGTAATGCATTACAATAATCTAGCCTTGAGGTCAAAAATGCATCAATTAACATTTCTGCATTTTAAACTGAGAGCCTATGTTATAATTTAAAGATATATTTCAGATGGAAAAATGCAGTTTTACAAATGCTATAAATGTGGCTTTCAAATACCTTTTCAAACCTTGACTGACGACAAAGACTAGACATTTATCAAGAGTTAAGCAGTATTCTTGGTTATTATGGAGGTTTTTGGTCCATTAATTAAAACCTTTTTTTCTGAATTTAGTAGTTGGAAGTTACTAGTGATCCAATTTCAATTCTGCAATTCCTTGGAGGCACTGTGATGTTTGTTGTGTTTGGAATATCATACTGTCAACTAATTAATAAGACTGAACACCGTACTGACAACTAATTAAAGAGACTGATTGGGGAACGAGGAACTTTTGAAGGATTGTGATCTGTGTATTCAGAGACTGGGGTGAGAAGGATTCAAAAGAGTGCAAAAGAGAATGGATGTGGGCTGGCTGTCGGTCTGTTTACAAGCCGAAATAGGACGGCAGTACGCAGATATTGTTGGGAGGAGGGTGTCGTTCGCGGTCGTTAAGATCCGCCAAAGATGAAGATAGATAGCGGGGACAGGGTGAGAGTAAGTAGGGACGGGGAGTTAGGAGTGCCGTCGTTCTTTATTGTGTGTGTTATTTAACTGTTGAACTGCCAGAGCGTGCCAGCGTATGGACCACGCCCGTTCTGAACAGGCTTCTATTGCTGTCCTCTCTTTTTGTGGCTGAGACTGTCATGTGCAGAAGTCCTTGTGAGGACTGACGACACGCGGCTCGCATTTCCCATTACGTAACGGTTTGCAACAAGCGGTGTTCCACGGACTGCAACAAGCTCCTTCAATGTATGTAGCACACTGCCCTAAGACTTTCTAGGTTGTGTTTAGCCTGTCCTGCAGTCCCTTCTCTTAATAAAATTACCTATTGTGATTGAAGTCATGGTGGTATGTTGTCTTCTGGTGCCAGACCACACTGGCTTAAAGAATTAAAGGTGGTGGCAGGGGCTAATTAAATACAGTAATTATTACAATACCATTTCATTCCAAGAAGGAACATAACTATGTGAAGACACCACTTTTTCTAGTATTTTTGATTGAAAAGGGAGATTTGAAAGCAGTCTGTAGTTAACTAATTGTCTAGTATCAAGCTGTGGTTTTTTAATACAAGGCCTAGCTTTAAAGTTTTTGGGACATATCCTTATAATAATGATGAATTAATAATATTAAGAAGAGGTTCTATGACTTCTGGAAACATCTCTCTTTTTATATATATATATTTATAGTTTGGTAGGTATAGGGTCAGACTTGTAATCCGAAGGTTGCAGGTTCGAGTCTCAGGTCCAGCAGGAACTGTCGGTGGGGGGAGTGAATAACCAGTGCTCTCTTCCACCCTCAATACCACGACTGAGGTGAGACCCTTGAGCAAGGCACCAAACCCCCAACTGCTCCCCAAAAAAAAAAAAAAAAAAAAAAAAAAAAAAAACAAGGATTAAAGATGCTGGACACTCGGAAAAAAACTAAACTGACATTGTTTTTGTGACATGTAACAGATCTTCTCTTTTTAAAAATCTTTATATATTTTTGGTTACAGAGTTTTTAATAAAAACGAAAAAAATATGAAAACAGTCCAACAAGTGATTTTCCTATTGCTAAAAGCCAATAGCAGTTTAAAATGTCCTTTTGGCCCCAAGTGTCTCTGTTTCAGAATTCAAGTTCTTACAGACACAGGTAGGTCCACACTTCTGGTCTGCCTTGCAGACATATTTATCTCGTCACAAGAAAAAAAGAGAAAAGAATATGAAGCTTATAACTCAATCTTAAAAATAACAAAGCATTATTAAGTTTCCCTTGCCAAATCCATACTTTTTGGACTTCTCTTGATCAATTCAGGGCTCCAGTTTTCTAGACCTGAGGCTTTTAAACAGAACATCTGAGTCTCAACTCCCTTAGAAAAGCTATAAGTCAAAGGCAGTGAGTGTTTGAAGGGAGAAGCCTTTAGAGGTTCATCACTCTAGACTCGAATGGCCAATCCAAAAATAGAGAAATCTTCTGAATAATCTTGCAGCCTATGCACATTGATATCCTCTCACATGCGCACTTGGTGTGGTGGTTAATATCCCCAATGAGGCATTAGTTTTCCACAGGAGTGGGGTTCTGCGGCAGTGGTGGGGTTGTGGGAGGCTGGCTGACAATCACCTGAATGACATAGTCTCTGGAGATCTTCAGTTCTTCCAGCTTCATCTTGTCAGCGAGTGGTTGGCCTGAGAAGAACCAGCGCTGGCTGGTGGCCAATACACCTTCCTGGGTTTGCAGACGGCGCTTCATCTGCTGGACATTGTCGCTGGTGCGAACGGCCAGGCGTAGATCTCGTCCCGTGGAGAGACGCAGACGCAACTGGCACTCCGGGCCTTCGCTAGCTGGAGCTTCTGGGATCTCAATGGTCTCCGACTCGCTCTTTTCCTCGATCATGTTGACAGGAGGGGAGAGGCAGTAGACGTGCAGTTGGTAGCGGTTCCCCAGCTCATCGTAGCATTCAGTCAGAGCACCTGGAGATGACACAAAAAGAAGCATTTAAGCCACATTTTCAGTCTCTGACTTTCAGACTTATCTGATGTTTTGATACAGTGGACCATGATATTGTAATATAGCATGTCTAATATATAGTGAAATCAAACATTGTGATGCAAAATGAGTAAAGATAAAAAAATTCTGCCCTATTGTTTGGTCATTAATAAAATCTGTAATTTTATGGCATTGAGTGTGTGAACTCCTTTGTTTAAAGATCAGATTTATTTGCTTATATTGAAGCACAAGATGCTCTTTGAATCATTCTCAAATTGGTGGATAAAATGGACCATTAGGTTTTGCACAAAATTACGGATTTCAGACAAACTTGAGTGCTTCTGTAAAATATCCATTTTATTTTATGATGGTGATATGGTTATCAATTCTTGGCATCCTTCACAATAAACACCTTTAAGTATTTACAAAAGCATCTCTACAAAACAGCAGTGTCTTACAAACAACAAACAACAGTGTCTTCCACAGTATGTAAACCAAAGGTGACTGTTGCAAGGAAAAATCTGTACGATTTTAGAATAGGATAGAATAGAATAGAATAGAATTATCTTTGTCATTGTTAAAGAAAAAAAAACAGTATAGCAGCTCTTTAGGATTGGCATATTTATAGACAACAGGCACATAATAGAGAAACATCAGCAAAGATAACCACATTAATGTGTAATCTACCGATGATATCTCCCAAGTAAAACAATATAATACTTTTCCGGAATCGATCTACATTGCCTGTTTTGTAGACTGTACAGATGAAAACTGATGATTTTCAAATAGATAGGAAGAAATCTTTGGAGGAACCAGGACTCAGATGGGGAAACCCATCAAATATACATTGGCACATATTTAACACAATTATTATTCTATTAAAATAATATTTGAAGAATATTAATAATATTCCTCCAGGCTCTTGATTCTGTGGAACAAGCTTGGCTCTTTTTCCTAATGAATAAAAAAACAGTATTTTATAACCCCCTTTTTTTTACCTTAAACATGCATAGTGTTTACTTCTAAGACTGTTTTGAAATCCTACTTGCTAAAATAAATACAGACACACATCACATGATGAGCATGCTGCCTATGACATAGAGACTCATTAGAGATCTGTCAACTTTTTAATCAAAGAGGAAGTTGGAGCAATGAATCAATGACAATGGGACAAGGTTCACACCACAGGAACAATAAGATTACATCAATGGCTTCTTCCATGGAGGAAGTAAATCATTTTAATCATAATGAGCTACACCTCCATGGAATTCTGTAAAAAAAAAAAAAGTAATATTCATACTATCATGATGACACGTAAGTTTTGTTTTTAAGAAGTAGGTTTTGTTTTTAAAGACTATTTAATTCGTATCAGTAACACAAGGATTTCATTAAATGTTTCTGATACGTTCTGGTGAAACTCTTTACTGCTCAGCAGATCAAAGAATATTTGATGAAACCATAATTTACTCACCATTATATGTTGTTCCAAACTTTTGCAACTTTTTTCCACAACACAAAAAAATAAAAAAGGATGTAGTTTATACAAACCGCGCACTATATCCTCTTCTATTTTTAGAGCATCTGCTCATCTGCAATACATCTATTGCTATTGAACGTTTACTATTAGATGGGTCATTCTTCAATTGGGGCGGCAAATGAGAGGCAGAATTTGTAAAAATGCTTTTTTTTAATATATATATAAAATGTATTGCTATGCATTTAAAATTTGTTTAATATGCTATATCAATTAAAATAGAAGCTTAAGAACATTTTGTTTTTTAACTAATTTTAATCAAACACTGGTGACAACCACTTATGTATATAGTGTTACCAATATTTGAAGTAAAATTTTGGTTTGTTCTAAAATGAGCAGGGATATGAAACTTTAGCTAATAATTAATAAATAAATAAATTACTTTAAGGGTTCAGTGTCATTGATCATTTAAATTTCAGTTTTTAAAAGAAATGTTCAATTGTTCATACATTTTGAAATAACACCACAGACGTAATATTGCATAAAAGGTTTAACAGTTAAAAGTTTATTGAACAAAATAATGAAATTCATCATGAGTAGGATTACAAGTATCTACTCTGATAAAACAACATTTAGAGAAAAATATGATTTACAGTTACAATCCATTTGATTTCAGTGATGTCATCGTCCAGCTCAGTTCAGTTTAAATAGTGTCTGTGCAATCAAGTCGACGATATTGCTGGAAATTAAGTGTCCCCAACTAAGCAAGACAGAGGCGACAGCGGCAAGGAACCAAAACTCCATCAGTGACAGAATGGAGAAAAAACCTTGGGAGAAACCAGGCTCAGTCGGGGGGCCAGTTCTCCTCTGACCAGACGAAATCAGCAGTTCAATTCCAGGCTGCAGCAAAGTCACATTGTGCAGAGGACTCAACTGGTTCATGTGGTCCTGTCCCGGTGGCCGTCTAGGAGACAAGGTCTTCACTGGGGATCTGTCTCCAGGGCTCATCTAGTTGTCCTGATCTCTGCTGACATTCAGGGCTGTAGAGGTCATCTCTAGGTGCTGATCCACCATCTGGGCTGGATACGTACTAGATCCGGGTGACTGCAGTGACCATCTGATCTGGATACAGACTGGATCTGGTGGCTACGGTGACCTCGGAATAAGAAAGAAACAGACTAATATTAGCGTAGATGCCATTCTTCTAACGATGTAGCAAGTACATCGGGTGTTATGGGAAGTGTTCTTGGTTCCGGTTGTTCTAATTAATGCATATATGCCTGGCAGGGGTTGCAAACCAGCTTTGGCTTTTGCCCAAGTTAGTACTGGGCAAGACACGGTAGAGGTGGTAGCATTGCACATCTTAGACATTTTCAGCAATTCACTCAACACAGGCAAATCCCATCCCAAAACCATTCCCACGGGTAACCCTTCAACCACCCCAACACTCATCAAATATGGCTGTTTATTAACAGAGACCGTGACCTCAGTGGTTGGGTACTCTTGTGGTATTAGAATAGTCAATTGCATTTTCTTGAACATAACAGCGCTTAATCAGGGACATTACGCTCCCAGTGTCAACAAGTGCATTCAAAGTCTGTCCATTCACAGTTACCTCAAAAAAACGGTCAGATAGTTCAGTATTGTCCTTAGTGTCACCCTTCCTTGGCACATAACAAAGACTAGAAAGTTTTGGTTTTCGTACAGGGCAATTAGATGCTTTATGGCCTTGCTGTTGGCAATAAAACACACAAGTCCTTTGCTATTAACAAGAGATGTGTTACCTTAATTCCCCCGTTCGACGACCTTGGACCCTCTGTTCATTGTTGTTTGTGGACATGACTGTCCTCCCCGATGTGCATTCTGGTATTGTGTTGCAAGTCTGGCAGCCATCAGTCCATCCGTCGGCTCATGTTCCCTTACCTAGGTCCGAACCTCATAGGGCAGACCGCGAAGGAATTGCTCTAGGATGATGATCTCTCCTATCTCCTCCTTAGTGCGTTGCTCCGGTCTGACCCAGCGACGATAGAGCCCCTTTAGACGGTTATAGGTCTCGGTAGATGTCTCTCCTGAGGGTGTTGATGTCTGCCTAAATCGTTGACGGTAGGTCTCTGCTGAAATATTAAATTTCTCCAGCTGAGGTCCTCATAGACATCGGCCCTGTCTCCGTCCATAGCAATAGCAAAGGCGCTTACTCAAGCGCCTTTCCGGTGAGTAAGGGCACCAGCCGACACGCCCATTCCTCCTCAGGTCAACCCCAAGTCTTTGCCAACCGTTCAAACCGGCGGAGGTAGTTTTCTATTTCCTCTCCTTCTTGGTATGCTGGCATCCTTGGTTCTTGTTGTAGAAGAGGGTAGAATTCTGTTGTTCCCTGCAAATCTACAGGTGGCGGGGAACTGATCTGATGTCGTTTTACTGATGATGCCATGTTGCGAGAAGCTGCAGGCGTCTGTAATTCTAAGCGTAGACTCTGAGGAGACTCTGGTGTGTTCTGTCATTGTATTGATTCTCGCAGTCCCCTGATTTCATATATGAGACCTTCCTCCCGTTTCTGCTGGGCTGCCAGAAAGTCTCGCATTACAGACACCATGTCACTCTCTGTGGTGGTTGTAACTGGTGTGTGCTGAGGAGAACTGGCTTTGAAGCATACCCCGGCATCCTCTTCCTCCTCGTCCAGTGTGTCCCAAGCCACATCCTCCAGAACAGTCTTTCTCTGGGACCTTAGGCCCTTCCTGGTCTGGCTTCCAACAAGCACTGTCTTGCGGCTGGCCATCCCACTTCTGACACCACTTGTGATACTGGGAGCATAATGTCTGAAGGTCTGGCTACGCGAGACTAGTTCAAAGGCAAAGAGTGAATGAGATCGGAAAGATGGTTCAGTTTGGTGTTCGCGTGCAGTCAAACGTGCCTCTCTGCATGTGCGAGCTTCATGTTTGTGCGGCTGTGATAGAAAACAGCACGCGAGTAACGAATCGAGTTCTACTTTGCCTTTTCTTTCGCTAGAATGGTTTAAAATTGCTTGCTTGTGTAAACACGTACAATTGATAAACTTTTATTCTATTATGGTTCAATTTTGCAATTAATTTAAGGATCACATGCGTGCCGAATCGTGGGGCTTGGTCCGTACGAATCACGGATCAACTACGATGCGTTTAACCACTACTCCCAAGGGTAACATATAAAGCGTGAAAAGTAACGGCCCTAGTACTGAGCCTTGAGGTACTCAATGCTGCACTTGTGATCGATATGATACCTCTTAATTCACTGCCACGAATTGATGGAGGTCAGATAAGTACGATTTGAACCATGCTAATGCACTTCCATTAATGCCATCAAAGTTTTCTAGTCTATTCAAAAGAATGTTGTGGGCACTAGTGTCAAACGCAGCACTAAGATTCAGTAAGACTAATAGAGACATACAACCATGATCAGATGATAATAGCAGGTCACTTGTAACTCTAATGAGAGCAGCCTCAGTAATATGATATGGTCTAAATCCTGACTGGAAAT